TGCTTAAGATTCTGATCGTCGGCGATAAACTCTACGATAAGTTAGTATATATAGTTAGTATTCATAACTACCTGCATTAATTATTAATTATTTTCCGCATTATATTACCAGCTACGGGATAGAGGCCTTCCTCGCTCGTCACTCCCGTAACCCAGGGTAAGTCCTGTACGTCTCCGCTATTGATGATTTCAATAGGCGTCCTGTCGATGAAGGGTGTTTCATCGCCAAATCTCTCGGCCACTGGCCCGAAAGGAGTGAAGGGATTGTAGAAGAATGGCTGAAGTCAAAACAAATAGAACAAATCAAAACTATCATTTTTACAACATTCGACGATTTGTTGTTCTTGTTTCAAGATCATAAAGGAGGGAACAAATCTTACCATAAATTCACTTGTAGCTTGGACGATCGCGCGAGCTGGTCGATATCTCAAGCAACGTATCATTTCTCTGGAGCTGATTGTAGGGCATCCCATCAAAGCGCCCAATTTCTTGGCCTTCTCTAAGGCGTTGTCCGTTTGCGTCCAACAATCAAACGCTGTACCGCTGAACGATATACCGCCTATGTTATATAAAATTGTTACGTGACAGTTTAACGTAATAGAGGAAACGACTTAATCTTCACGCTGATTTTTGCATCGTGTCTTAAAAATACCTCGGAAAAGACCCGCGCTCATTTGCGATAAATAATGATAATGCACGCTAGCACCGCCGGCACTCAAACCGACCAAGGTCACTTTCTTTGGGTCGCCACCGAACCATTCGATGTTCTGCGACACCCAGCGAAGTGCCATATTTTGATCCTTCAGACCCATGTTGCCAGGAACTACTTCATCTTCTGTGCTAAGGAAACCTGATATTTTTTAAGAGGGTGTAAAAAATTGAGAGCTTGAGATGATAAAAAAAACTTGTATATTTAATCTATAAAACTGACTAGGCCAAGTCTTATCTGTATCAAAACACTTGACTAGATGAATTTTAATATTGAATACTGAAATTATTAATTTCAATAATATACTATACTAATCTTATATAAGTATAGAGTGCAAATATTACACACCCATTGGTCCCAACCGATAGTTAATTGTGACAAGTATAACGTCGTGATCCATTAAATATTTAGGTCCATATAATATCCCGCTACCACATTGGAATGCACCGCCATGGATCCAAAATATTACCGGCATTGGAGTTTTATTTCCCCCCTTTTCGCGTGCAGGCACGTAAATGTTTAAGTATAAACAATCTTCGGCACCCACAACCTTCTCCGGAGGCATTTCTGGCATTTGATCGTATTGAATACACACGGAACTGAATTTTGTAGCCGATAGATCGCCAATCCATGCCGGTATCGGTCGAGGAGGCTACACAGGAAAAAACTCAACTACATATTTTACAATATTTTTCGCAAGAAAGATTTTGTGAAAATTTAGTTTTTGACGAAATATTTTTTTAAACAAAA